TGGGGATGTACCGCGTCCACAGTCCGACTTTGGAAATAATTATGCATACAATGAACTCAGGACAAGGTGCGTTTTTATAAGTCTTCCTACCAATATAACCAAGTTGCGAAAACAAGGTCAAACAATTTCTATACAACGGAAGGAGACTGCGACAACAAAAAAGGCCACACCATCTTTGTCTTCATACTTTCAATAAATTCTTTTTTATTCAAGCCTTTCTATAAGCACTTCTGCCTACCCCTTCTATAAACTATACATAATTCCCAGTATTTCGGCTGTATTTTTTAGTTATATAAACTCACTTTTCATCGTCTCCTTTGGCAACCGTATTTTCGCAACTGCGTCGGAGCGTCAGGGATATCTTGTGAGACGTACCTAGTCCTGTGTTCTCTTCCATAGTATACGTGGTTTCCAATATCGGATCATTTACTTGGTACATTTGCTGGCGTCATAGTCGGCATCGTCAGCACAGAGTTACAACCTATCAAAGTGAATAGTGGAGGTAATCCCCTCGATCATTTTTCTGTTCAACCGTTGTAGCATCATTCTTCGTTCCTATTCTTGTCCTACCTGCATCTCTTTCTCTCAACTACACTTAATATGGCCCACTAATCTAATCACACAATTCTGTGTTTTCATTTCCTCCAATATTACCTAAGAGTGGGTTTCTACAATTGGGTTTATTAGAGAGTAATAATTTTTAATACTAATTCCAGGTGCCATTTACGGGACTCCTGACCTTCATTCAGACCCCTCCTTGCTTCTATTCCGCTAATTAATTGGACGCTGCTACACGAAGATTTGTGAGATTCTGAAATATGGCTGCCTAAGTGTCTCGAATTCACGCCCCCGGATATACCATAGTCGAGGATCTAGAGCGGATCACGCCCGTCCTTGTGCCTGAGAATCTTCCTCTCCCTCAAAACCATGGATCAAGTATCCTCTCTCTCATTACCACCCACATTGTATCTCGTTCTTTAGGGCCCTGTGTATGGTTTAATTCATACCCTTTGGCTTGAAAATGCGCCATTTACCTTTTCCCCCTGAATCGCCCCCCTGAAGCCAGTCTCTTCTAGTCCTAAAGTACTAGAATGTCTCTTTCTGTTGTTGAATAAATGTCCTTGTCTGAAGCGTCTTCTTTTAGCTGTCTTCGCCGAATCTACAAATCTGCCCAGGCTGGTTCTTCTAATTTTCTGTTCATCAGGTTTCTTTGAAAAAGGATGTCCACGGCCTCCCTTATCTTCTGTTTTCTGGTATTCTCCTCATGAGACCAATCTTCCCGTTGTATCCAAGCCAATTGTGTGGCCACTAAGAGCAATGTGCTCAGCCATCTTCGATCTTTCCGTATCCATTCTTCTGCAAATTAGCTGGTGTTCTTTGATCCTTGTGTTGATTGTCATTCAGGTCTATCCTATGTACTTTTGTTTACAGTCCCTATAGTTTATGCTGTAAACTCTGAGGCACTCCATTTTGTTGACTTCAGGCGGTATGGGCAAATTGTTGAAGAGGATTTTTCTTTCTTTCAGGATTGTACGAAAGTTCCATTTCATTAGTACCAGCCACAGCATCCTGACCAATTCGCAAGAGGGTAGACATATCCATCGTTCTTTCTCTGTTTCCCTTGCTTTCCTTTCATAATCTTTGTCCTTCCATCTCTATTTTGCGTCATATTGCTTCTTCCGAATATCAGTTTCCAGGAAATATCTGAGTTAGATTTTCAGTTCAACTCAATCTGTGAGCCGTAGGCGTCTTATGACAATACTCCAGAGTATTCCAAATTTCACTCCATAAGTATTATTAAACTAAAGATTAAGGATTATTCCAACATGCGATTTCTTTCAGAACAGTTGTTTTTCGAGAGTTTCCTTGGACCGAATGACTCCACATTTAAGAAAGCTAAGTGTCTGTTCTCTTCGCCAAGGCAAAGGACTTCATTTGCCACTGATAAATTGGAACTCTGTGCTAAGGACGGCGCCGACGATGCCGATAAATCGTCTCATAATATGCCATGTAAATGGAATGATACTGGACACGGATCAAGGATCATTCCTCAAGGCCTCATTGTTGCTCCAACCAAGTTACAAGAACGAGGTCACGCTAACACTACGTCTGAAGAAGATTGCAATCAAACAAAATGCCACAATATCTTAGTAGTTATATCTACATCAAACTTATTTCGTAGCATTCAAAAATGATAGCTTATCCTTTTTTTAATTTCAGAGTCTATTTGGCTATCATTAGTTAAAATAATTATAATAGTTCTATAGCAAATTGATCATCCATATGTCTAACTAATAATTTATCTACTGGTACTGTTTCTTGAACCAAACGAAACTCCAATTGAGCCAAGTAGTCCGCTAAAATTGGAGCCAAACAAGATCTATTAGCCTATGAACTGAAGGAGATTTTCAAAATATAATTAAAAGGATATGAGAATACTCTAGGATAACTATTGCTAATAATTTAAGAAGAAAAAATGAGGTAAATGCTGGAAATCACGAATACTATGAAAAATAAGATTTTCCTTTACATTTTCGCATTGGTGTGTTTCTGATGGTTGCCATAAACATTTTTGGCATATGACGAATAAAAATTTGTAGTGACCTATTCCTACACTTCCTATTCACTGTCTAGTTTTGTTATATCCCATACTTAGCCATAGCTCAACGCCCTTTGACACAGAGATCACGTGAGTGCATGACTAATTTTCACTCTATTTCGCGTCGACTAATCAAAGCTTTGCACCGCATCGTCCAATCAGAGCTTGATATGAAGAACTACGCAAGGCCATATCAAGTAGGTGACATCCTGCCCAAGTTCACGCTCTTTTCTTTCTCTATCTTCCCTCCGCTGTGGTTTGCGGGGTTTAGAATGATCTATTTTGCGCCATCTTTAAATCATTGTCAGCTCCACCATGGTGTATTTGCCTCTGGGCCTCCATCTTTGGAGTTGTAGAGAGCAAACGTTTTATATTTTAGAGAGACCATTTCGTTCTTTGGGATACAACATCTCTTTGGAAAGCTAAAAAGTGTTCTAACGTGTATTTTCAAAAAAATGCAATCTCGTTTTTGCTGTTGTAAAACCCATGCTAGCATTATTGAGTCGCAGGCCAGTTAAGCTTGTCTATTACGTACTTGCTTTGTTTTTTTATCTACTAATAACAGTCATTGTTAGGTATGTCTGTCGGCAAGGGGCATTTTACTTTTTATCCAAATTGAAAGGTACTCTGATGAGTCCTTCAGTAGGAACGTTTCGGAAATTTTCAATTGCAGGCTAAATTATATCTTCCATCATTTCTGTTGAAGCCGATTAATGAATATTCACTTTATACTTTCAAATCGTGTGAAAGTACAACAGAGAAATGAACTGTAGAGTTATTTAAAGCCCAACTTCGCACAGCATAATAAACATGTTTTATATGCCCAGGTAGTAATGCATATTTCAAAAGATTGCGGCTCATTTATGTTGGATAGCAATTGAAGCATAAACGATAGCTGTCTTTGTTAATTTGTTCCAAATGTTTGGGCATTCCGATATCCTATAAGTATATTTTAAGTTTAAACTTATATAGACTGAGTAAATTTCACATTATACTGTATGTATGTATGCAATTTATAGGCCTTGAGCTCATCCTCATTTTCATAGCGTGCATCAGTTAAGCCTCTAGCACTCGACTGTTACATGTGCAAATAAGGAACATCATATTTCTTATTGATGTTTTTCTAGCGTTGGTATTTCTTGTCGGTCACGAATTTAAGTGTACACTCATAACTAAGATCGTTTTCAAATATATTGTGATTTTGCTTTCTTAAATGAAAATTCAATAGAAACGCAATTATCACGAGGTTGTTTATTTCGGTATTTTGTGCTACCTACGTGCTAAACTTAATGCTATAAAAACATTCAAACAAATGAATATGGAGAACTCTGCTCTACTCCCACATTTTCTATCACTTACCCGCAGATCTTTCTCTTCGCTCTCACCTAAGCACACTATTATGCAGATAATAAACACCTCATTATTAAATACCTTGTTTTGCTAAATAGTAAGTGGTTTTTAAATGTGGTCTATTTGAGTGTAATGGCTAGTTGCAAAGTCGATGTTTAGCTTTTGATCAATGGCGATATTGCAACGTAATTGAGCATTTGCTTGTAAGTTGTATAACCTCATTTTCGCACCATGTTATTGTCTTATGGACCTCAAAGAATGTTTCTTGTCTTAGATTATTCTCTCTTGTAATTATAATCATTTCCAATTTCTGACCGTGAACTTGTGAATTCCCAGGTGTTTCTCATACATCCTCAGCGAGCCTTGCCATTCTTGGCACGATGCTATAACTCGTCAAAGAAATTAATTTAATCGTGAAAGGTCAGACTACTTCAAGACAGTAAAAGGAAGTTGTAACTAAATCGGAGCCTCATCATCTTGCCTTTAGTATCTATGATTTAATGTGCTTACCTATATATAATCTACCATTATTTTATCTTGATCGTAACTTTTTTAGGGTCCGCTAAAACCTACATTTTAAACAAATGGGTCGAATTGATTTCTTGTACTTACTAGTACAATCTTGAGCTTGTTTGATCAGTTTTTCACCTATTGGATGAATTTATGGCCTCATTTTTCGTTCCTTCGTTTTCCTTTCAAACAATCTCCAAAATGTATTCGCAATATTGATGTTGGCATACTTCACGTTACGTATGAAGAGGCGAGTAGATAGGATTCACAAATTGGCCTCATGGGAAGCCGAAGGAGGATTACCTTGGAGTTCTAACTATAGATTTTTGCGAATAAGTCTTCAGATACCGTCTCGCGACCCCGATGGATATATTATAAGTTTGCATCTGTCATGTTGCTGATATCATCAGCAGTACACCATGTTTTACGATAATTCACCCAACACGAAGAAAAGAAAACCCTCTACTCGCTTTTCCAAACGAAATTAAGGATGAACCAACATCAAGGGATCCTTCAAAATCCAATTTTCGTTCGTATTTAAAATATTTTGTAACTTTATATGTGCTTTAGAGACATTTTTGAAAATTATTTGTTCAAAATCAATTTAATCTTTTTAAGAATCATTGTTTATCCTCTTTAAAAGTCTTAAACTATTAGTTAAATGATATAAGATTAACATTTCTCTTTTGATCAGGTGGATTCTTCTTTACTTGACTCGCCTAGGACAGAGTTCCATAGTCAAACTTCATCTACTACCCTTAGTGTCGGGTCTACTTTTTCGCGTCCAGATTCCCCGGCTATCGGATCGGCCGACAGCCTCCCTTTGCATCATAAACTGGCTCTGGCCACGGCCCTGCTGCTGCGTCGTCGATACCGACAACAGACAATGTCATCTAAGACTGCCGGCCGAACTAGCTTGCTAGCTCGTCAATTAACTGTCTCAGGCGCCGCCACAATCGGCCGTCTACACGAAGCCTATATTGTCGTATGCCAAGATCGCCAGCTTACCCCATTGGACACGAGCGAATTTAACTCTGTTTGTAGCCTGCTGGAAGCGCGTGGGCTAATTCGAATACAGTCTAATGGTGGTGGTGGAAGCTCTTATGGGATTAGTAGCCCGGCTAGAATGAATTATGTCTCACTGCGTCTCGACGACAAAGGCATTGAACGTGCTCTAGATGACAACCTTCTTCTTTCCGCTATCCTTAAAATAAACTTTTCAAAGGATATTTTTTGATAAACTTAACAAATTCTTTTTGTTAAAAGCCTTTTACGTGCTAATGATTGTGTAATTTATTATGGATATGATTATTATATTAAGCTTATTTTATAATCTACAAAAGAAATCAAAATCACCCATCTATATTTGTAGAGTAGATATAAACGTACGTGTATGTGTATATACATAAAGTATGAGATAAAATTACAAACTTATAAAAGCAATCATCACTCTTCGTTTTTATTTTCAGCACTGATTTTTATACAAAATGGAATGTCATATTTTTATTCCGTTATTTTCAACGTGCAACTCCGAAGTAAAGCTATGTTTGAAAACAAGAACCGTTTCTTACTTTGACCCATTTTATATAAAGTGCTAGTCGTATCAGCAAGACACCTATAAATTTGCCATAAATTTTTAATTATGATTGCAAGGGGGAATATCCTAAAGGATAATATTAGTACGCTTGTTCGTACACTTTTTTTGCCATTATGATCTTCAAAATCTTTTGCTTCATCCTTTTGCCTCATTCTAAACTCTTTTAGCTACTGCGTTCGTTTATTAATTGTTTTAGTCACCCTAGGTTGTATAAGGTGATGAAGGACTGACAGCTGAATCTTCCTACAATAATAAGGATATGACTCGTGTTTCTATTAAATTTCACTCAGTTTTGCTAAAAGGTATTTGCATCCAGGTTTAATTGCAGCTTCGACCTTGCATACGTTTCATCAACACCTGCAGCAGAAATCGAGTCTGGTTAGTGGGGAGCATAATTGTGACATTTTACCACTATGCCACATTGCCGTGAGTGCCAGTGGTTCACAGTGCACGCAAATTTATTAAAAGGCCCGGTCCCGCCACAATTATACAGGAATTAATCGAAAGTATGAGGAGCAATATGGTGGGGACTTTTGTGTACCACGTCGACGGTCCGATGTAAAAATTAGCATGCATACTATGGACTCAGGACTAGAAGCTTTCCACTAAGACCTATCAATAAGATCAAGTAGACCAAATGTAGTGAGTGAGGGGAATAATGATTAGTCCACACTTTTTCGTAAGAATGTAGGATTGGTGGAGGGAATAAGATG